ATTCCACATATAAGTGAAATCATATGGTATTTGTCTTTCTCTGACTGACTTATTTCGCTTAGCATAATACCCGCTAGATCCTTCTGTGCTGTCACAAATGGTAAGATTTCCTTCTTTTTTATGGCTGAGTAATAATCCATTGCATATATGCACCACAGCTTTTTATCCACTCCTCTATTGATGGATTCTTGGGCTGCTTCCATATCTTGGCTATTGTAAATAACACTGCAATAAACATAGGGGTGCATATATTCTTTCTGACTGGTGGTTCAGGATTCTTAGGATATATTCCTAGAAGTAGGATCACTGGGTCAAATGGCAGTTCCACTTTTAATTTTTTGAGGAAATTCCACACTATTTCCATAGTGGTTGTACCAGTCTGCATTTCCAACTGCAGCATACTAAGGTTCCTTTTTTTCCACATCCTTGCCAACACTTGCTTGTTGATTTATTGATGATAACCATTCTGACAGGTGGAGGTGATAGCTCATTATGGTTTTAATTTGCATTTCTCTGATGGTTAATGACATTGAGCATCTTTTCATATGTCTATTTGCCATCTTTAATACACAAATTCTTAATGGAGAACTTTTTTCTGACACAGCTCCAGCTTATGGTTGGAGAGGAGTGTCAGGCCCAGGCAGAAAATGGAAGTAGAAATCGTATATTATACCAATAGGTGACTGGCTTGAAGTTTTTCCAGCCTTCTCCCAGGAGGAAGGCCAAGCTATGACTGCTAAATATCGCTGGAAATAAGATCTCCAAAGGTGTGACCGATATACAGGGGCCGATCTGTATTCTGCAGGAAGAGCGGTGATGCTTTTACCAAAATATCACATTGCTAGGATGGTAGATAAAAAGTGTCTCCTACCCTGACTCCAGATAACTAGTAATGGCTGCTTGGAGTCATGTGCTAAGCACGATTCTGATTGATTAGTGATGTCTGTCATAGGCAAAGGACTTGGGAAGTAGATGCCAGCACACTTATATTCACCATTCTCACACTCGTGGTCCGCAGTATTTAGTATATCAGGGATAAAGCTCTTGGTAATTTGTCAAAAGGCTACAAATTGAAGGAAAAACATATTTTGATACGATGAGGCATATTCTCTAAGAACTAAGTTAACTCCCTGAATTATAACTCCATAAGTTGCTGCACCTAGTAGCACAATAAAATTTCCCTAAGCCAATAAATAAAGCAAATTTCAACATAAATCCAGTCTCACTTGGGAGGGGAGGGAAACATGGATTCTGTAAACACCTCCTAGAGGCAGGCCCTGGACCCTGTCCCCAAGGTCAAAGACTATCTCTTGCTCACTTGTTCTAGATGTAGCAAAGTGCTCTTACATCATACACAATCAATCCAATGTGGACTAGATAGGGAATATATTTGTTTCAACATATTGTGAGGTGGACTTTACATACTATGATAAAAGAGAGGCTAGGAAGTTACAGGAATGGGTTGAATTTCTAAAAAGTCATTGAGGTGGTCCAGTGGGCTTTTATCCTGGGTCAACTTGCCCAGTGGCTAGTGAATAGAAAATAAAAATTACTCAATTTGAAGATACACACATGCACACACACACCTTCAGAAGACATGTTTCCTTCATGATTGTATGACTGTTTACACATGCCTCGTTAAGTCTCCACCAGTCTTTGGTTCAAGCCTACCTCCTCACCCCTAATACGCTCTACACACCGTGTCTGTGGAACCATCTGTTTTCCTTGCTGTGGAAATGCCCCTTGAGCTACAGCAACCACTTCATTTTCTGTGTGTTCATTTAACTGTGATGTGCAAGCAATCAGCTAGGAATTTTCAAGGGAGAATGCCAAGTTTCAGAAATCTAGAGAATAACCCAGAAGAGCACACCCACACTCTGTGCCTTAGAGTATCACTCACTACGCTGAAGATACTCAGGTGCAGAAACCATATCAGATGAAGATGTGACTCAGCAGTATGTGGGCTGTGGAATCTTGATGAAGGTAACTGAGGGAGGGGTGGAAGGAAGGGTAATGAGAGGCGGGTGGCTCTCAGGTCTCCAGAGGCATCTTGCCCACCCCCTCCCCAATCCTCAAATGACTGTTATTCAAAATAGTTTCATATGCTCTAATTTTCTCCAGGGGTTTCAAATTCAGTTCTCGTCTTCCAGCTTGCAAATAAAGAAACTCCAGGTATGAGTCAGCGATTCCCAGTTTGATCGAATTTTGTAATCACTCCCACATATATGTGATGCAACTCTTATACCTCATTGAAAATAAGACACCAAGTGCAATTACATCTCAAATACAGGTCAGCTTGGGGAAGGGAGGGAACTAAATTCAACAACTGTTTACTGAGCACCTACTAGGTGCAGGCCAGGGTTAGAAATGGAATAAAACACAGTCCTTTTCCCCAGGGAGCATTTCATCCAATAGGGAAGATGACTGTGCAACTGGACAATCCTGATACAGAAGTGCCCCTTGTGTCGTGCATTGAGGGCAGGGGAGACCAGTTATCTCAGTGAGTAGTGGTCTGGGAAGGCTTCATGGAAGACAAGATTCAAGAGCTGGGTTTTGAAGGATGAAGAGCAGTTTGTCATCAGACCAGTGAAGAGGGCAGGAGGAGGAGCCTGGGAAGAGGGCACGGCTGGCACAGGTGAGTCAGCCTGGTGAGCTCAGTTCAGTGTGGCTAGTTCATAAAGGTGGCCACTGGGGAGAACTGGAAGCACAGAAGACTGGGGCAGTCACCTGGGGCCAGGTCAGGGGCCAGGTCAGGGGCTCGTGAGCCGAATGGAGGAGCTCATGGTGAGTTTCACTTGAGTTCCTGGCTAGTTTTATGTTGTGAGCTCCTGCCAGTGAACCCTTTTTTGCAGTACAGCAAATGGTAATGGGGAAGGTTCTTGGAGACATTTGGTCCTCTGAATGACTGAGTGCTTACCAAGGGAAGAGTTACTTGGTAAGGGAATACCCATATTTGAAGAGTCATCATGAGGAAACAGGAGTCCACTTCCTTGGATGAGGGATTGAGATAGAACTGAGGGCGAAATGACTGGATATGCAAATGAGTGCTTTCGAATTCAAAGATCATCTGAACAATCAGAGGAACTATCAATTTATCAGGCCCTGTCTTCTCTCTTCTCTGTCCCACAACAAGCCAGCGTCTAAAATTAGTCCAGTGTCTGAAATGACCGAGTGTCCATGAGCTTCTTGTGGAGAGTACCGATCAATATAGGGTCCACAGCACTCAGCACAAGAGAGCTCCACCAACCATAGGTGCCAATGGAGCCCATGCCATGACTGCAGACAAAGGGAACCACTTAAATACATGCACACATCTGATGACAGATTAGGTCACTTTAAAATAGACTAATTATAGCCAAAAGTTAGTGCAATGCCATGGTATTCAAATGTCTAACAATGTGGAGCACTTGCAGCATGCTTCCATTAGTCCATGGCTGATGGTCATCGTGGCCACATATTACCACCTAGCTATTTACCTTGTGTGTCCTTGATAAGAAGAGTCAACCCAAAATACAAGTGAACCCACAGAACAACTAAAAAAATTTTTTTTCCAATTTGAACAAATCGTTTAGTGTAAAAATAAACAGAACTAGAAATTGTCTCTAATAAACTAATATTAGTCTCCCCAGAGGGTTAATTATGTCGCTCCGTATTTTAAGAAGAATGTAAATTGCCAGTTTCAACAGATGTTCTTTTAAAAGGATTGGTTATCTAGGAAATGATGGGTCTTTGTTACAGCTTACCCCAGTGGAATATAAACATTAAGATCATCCGACTATCTGTCACACAACCCCACTCCTCCAACTGTTACCCACACTGATTCACCCTTTGGTTATCAGCAGCTTTAGTGACAAGTGTTCTAGCCAGAACTGTGGCCTCAGATACCAGACCTGTTCTGATGATTTCCTAACTCCCCCTCCACCACTGCAAAAACCCAAAAATGAAACCTTCCCACCATTACCAGCCCCAGTGTGGGTCCTCAGCAGATGGTCATTTCTACCCTATTCTTTTACCAGGGAGAGGTAGATGATGAGATAAAAAAAGAACCACAATAAGAACTTTCTGGAAATATAAAGACCTGCCCCAATTCAGTTTTAATATTCAAATGTGTGAGATGCATGTTAAATACATGCATACCTATTAGAAAACTGACAAGGGAGGAATGAGAATGTAAGTTTCCCTGGAAAAGTCATTAGAAGAAAAAAGAGATCACAAATTTCTCTATTGCTGGCTCTCAAATGGCATTTTGTGATACTGAAATGTATGTTGCCAGGTTCAGAGTGAGAGCTTCAGCTTGGATACCTGGACAAGGAAAGAGAGAAGAGGATCCTCAGGGTGGAAGAGGGTCATTCCAGGCTGACTGACGGCTGCTGACCTGGGGATGGAGAGAACACGTGCTCAATGTTGCAGCCAGTGGCTGGAGCCTGACTGCTAACCTCACTTGACCTGACTCTTCGTCATCATCCTGGTTAGACTCACTTCACAGATAGGGAAACTGAGGCTGAGGGAGATTAATGACTCCTACGGAAAACTTAACAGAATGTGCTTTCACTATTGATCTAGTAACAAGCATAAAATCTCATCTCAGCCAGAAAGGTAAGCAGATAACTATTGATCTCCTTAACTGTTTCTGAAAGGGGCTGCTGGAGGTAGGAGCTGGGTACTCGGAAGAGACTGGGCAGTTTTATGTCCTATATGCAGGAGGGGACAAGGCAGCTCAAGGCCATTGAAATGACCTAAATGGCAATAAAACCAAAGGAATAGCAACAATAGATGTGGCTTACTGAAGACCTACTCTGCCACAGAGCTGAGAAGGATGCTTAGTTCTTATTATTTAACTTAATAGCTCCACTACTTTGACATGAAAATATCATTATGTCCACTTAACAGGTAAAAAACATAAGACTCAGAGAGGTGAAATAAACTGCCCCAGGGTCACACAGTTCCTAAGTGGCCCACGAAGAACATTCCAGGTCTGCATGACCCAGAGCTTGCCTCCTTCCGCTGTAATCACTGTCCCAGATGATGCCTGAGACATGAATACTGACACCGCCCACCACAGCAGCTCCAAAGGTTCTCAGGTCAGCTACCTAGGATCCAGGAGCAAGGCAGAGCCAGCAAGGTACCAAGTCCGTCATGCTCAAATGTCATACTGGCAGGCCCAGCTAAAAAGTCGGAAAGGCCTGTTTGCAGAAGAAAAAAGGGAAAGCTTAATCTCAGCCCTCTTGCGCCTGAAGAAAGGGCTCAGGCGGACCATTGTGTAGTTAACATGATATAATTCCACGGGGTGCCCTTCACCTAGAGCTGAGCTGTACAAAACTTACTTTTCTGTTGGGAGGGGGCTTGGAGCACCCTCAGAGCAATCCTAAAATTCATCCTGCAGTAACTGTGCAGCCTATGCCACCTTAAAGGGGTAAAGACCTATCTCCCACAACCCCTCCATCCACAGCCAAGGGCAGTGGGAACCTTTCAAATCTTCCACTGGAGGTGCTCCCCAGTGCCCAGTGAAATACCTACTTGCTCCACAGTTCAGAAACTAGTCTGTGAGCACAGCAAGCAACAGTCTGAGAAAGAACAGGCCCCAGTTCCACCCACTCTAGAGACCCCATTCCTGATGCTGTCTGCAATTCTCAGGAGTCTAGGAGATGGGAAATAGTGTCCTTGGGTAGAAACAGTGCACTTCTCCCTCCAGGCCAGAACCCTGGGCAAAGCTGATTTGGTGGCATAAGGCTGCCTTATTCTCAGTTCTCACATTTAGGGGGCTGGAGGTTCCTGGAAGCCAGGTGGAGAGAGGGCTAACTATAAGGAAACAATGGCTACTTCTTCTTTCCTGTACACTGTAAGTGGCTAAGAACTGTGGCTCTGGAACACTGATTTTCCCCCTATGGCAATCCCCTTCCCCACAAGCCCCAACCCAAGGGCATTTGGCAATATCCGGAGATATTTTTTTATCCCTACTTCAGGAGAAGGCTTGCTATGGGTATCTAGTGGGAGGAGGCCAGGGATGCTGATCAACCTCCTACAGTGCCCAAGACAGAACCCCACAACAATGAATGGCCCAGCATCAAATCTAACAGGACTGGCACTGTGAAACTCTGGGCTCTGAGGAGCCTCTGCATTGAGCCCCAAACATATAACAGGTGAGCCATGACTTTGAGTTTTCCCAAACCTCAGAGGATGATGATCCTGATGCTATAATGCCTTGCAAAGATGTCACATTAATAAGTGACTCCCTTCCAATGTGTGGGCTGATACTTAATAGAACTCATTAGTTTCTATTAGTAGATGGGATGAGGACTTATGGGAACCATTCCCAGAGGCTCAACTCTGCTGACACCTCTGATTTTTCTTGGGGGTGGGAGTGGGTGGGAAATAACCCAATCCTTGCTTCAGTCTTTCAGGGAAACCTAGCACCTGTCTATATCAACATGTTCAAGATGGAAAGAAAAAAAAAAACTGAAAAAAAGGAGATAAATTATTTATCCAGCATAAATATTAAAGAAAATTGCAAAACATAGTCTGGTGTCACCATGCTGTTGTTACAGAATCATCTTGTTATAGCTTCTGGCAAAACACTGTTGTCCTTAATATCAGTACAACAGACTCGTCTGGGGTGCACCAGCCAGGGTGCATGTGTCTGCTTGCTGTCGAGGACACTTAGCGGCATGCCAACCAGCTCGTCACGCCCCAGCAGAAAACTGTGCAGGGACACCGTTAGGGATGAGCCTGAATTAGGAGGAGAGCGTGAACTTCATCCGAACACAGGATGTAATTTAAAACTGGCAGTCAATCAAACACACACAGGCGGTGCTGCCATCGGGGGTGACCAACTCAAGAGTCAACTGCTAAATTTCCAGGACTTTTGTGAGCTAGTTGTCAGACACACCCATTGTTAAATATTAAATTACATTAAGTCATGCTTAAATAAACTATATAAAAAACAAAGGTAAGAAATACTCAAAACTCAATACTTCTGAATAATGTTAGTATGTTTGATTGTCATCTATGCTTTTGAGGCTATTTACGTCTATTGTGTCTACATAGTGGAGATAGCATACACACACACACATACACACACACGTGGTTTGTGAAACTAGCTTCATGTTTCATAACTTCCTGTTGGCCACGGTGTATTTACACTACCAGCATCAGCAAGCATTGCAAGTCAATGTTTGTTGCCCTCCCAAGAATCTGTTGTTAACTATTTACCAACACCCCCACCCCCCACCATCACCATCACAGACATGGCATATATGGTAGCAGCACATACAGAAGGTTTTTGTTTTAGAAGACAACGCCTATTATTCAAAGCTTAGCAAACTCTGTACCACAGCCGCATGGGCTCCTAGGTAACCAAGAAGTTTAATAAATCTGTACAGTGATAATTAAACACTGTAAATAAGGTATCTGCTGAAGCTCCCTGGCTGGCCCGTTCGGCCTTTGTAGAAAAGTGATCCGTGCTGACATCCTGAATAAGGTTGGCAAAACAAGTGCAGGGAGGAGTGGTAGTGGAAAGTAGGTTTGCTCTCAATAATGTATGAAGCCCCATGCTGGGGAGAGAGATCCTAGGAAAAGCAGCTCCAAAGCAATCTGTTCTTTCATCTGGTGCGGCGTGGCGGCAAAGGTGCTGCCCCGAATCAGGAGCACAATTGCTCACTTGTGAGCAGATGTCCTTCGCACGGCAGGCAGCGCTCTTTTAACACAGCTGAGCAAATGCACACTGCAAGACGGGCTCCCCGCCCCGTTGCCGAAAGAACACAGTATATATTAATTTAGCAGGTTGTTGAATAATGTTTGAAAGGGGGATTTATGAAGTAGAAAAATCATGTGGCAAGGTAAAATGACTTTCTAACCTACTGGGGTGAAGAAAGGGGGTTCAGTTCCCAGGGAAGATGAAGTGGAAAGAGTCAGACAGATACTCACCCCCATAAAGAAAGCCAAAAAGGGGCTACCCAAGGAGTCAGAAATAGCCCAGTGGGGCAGACCCAATGCAAAGCCATAATTTAACATCCACCACCCAAAAGATTGTTTTTAACTAAAATGCAGTTTGATTATAAGTGCCTGTAGCTGGGGGAAGATGTGTGCCTGTGTGGGGGGAAGGACATACAGGAAATCTCTGCACTGTACACTCAATTTTGCTCTAAAATATAAAGTTTATTAATATATCTTTTAAAGTACGTGTAGCCCTAAGCCCTGAATTTAGCTGAATTGTTTGCTTTCTTCGTGGGAGTCCAGAGGGCAGGTCTTTCAAAGACTATCCTGGTATGTTTGGTGGGCAAACCTGGCTCCTAGGCAGCCTCACTGAAGGGCAGGTATACAAGCTTTGTGGTGTGAGTGGACTCCCTGAAAACCCAGTGCACAGGACCCTCCTTCGCCTAATGTAGCCATTACAGAAATGGAGACAAAGGCACTCTTGCTTTAAGTTCCTCTCCTTCTGCCCCATCCATCTTCCTGAACCGTGAGGCCAGCCTGGACAGCTTGGACAAACCCAACCACTTCTCCCAGGCTGACAGAATGTGGTCCACTTTCCCTATCTCACACTAGGGGGAGGAACCATCTGTTTTACCTAGGAAAAGGAAGAGCAGCAATCGGCTTAATGGGTCCCACCTTTAGAGCCCTGCATCCACTCAACCTCCGCACACAAATACCATTGTTTTCCACCTCGATAATTATTAAATTGTAATGTAAAACGCAACTTCTGCTTAAGTATGCGTGATTATTAGACTACAAGTCAATTGTGGATAACACCCAGATATAAATGCAGCTAATAAGTCTTACTGTAATGATTAATCAATTTATGAATACATTATTTAAACTAATAGCTCAGGTAGGGTATCTTAAACAAGTTGCAGAGTACATCGACCAATTCAAATACCAGCTGCTGGATCAATAGCAAACTGTAAGTCAACTCTGGGGAATAGGTACACTTGCAAAAAAAAATCTGCGAACAAAAGGGTCTTGGATGAAGGAAATGTATAACACTTTCAATTTTTAAGACAAATGCAGAGCACTTTAATAATATATACCAAAGCTTAAAGGGAAAGTTAAAAAGTCTATTACTGCAAATTTTGCTCTTCTTCATCCTATTCAATAATAATTTAGGACAGCTCATACAAACACATATGTTTACACAAACCTCTGCATATGTCTGCAAGTAGACAGTGTATTAAAGTCCCTTAATAAAATTATACATTGGGTTCATTTCATTGTAAGGTACCATATTTACCTATTTATCTATAAATATCATTTTAACAGTAAAAAAGAAGTGCATCTTAAAGGTAAGATTAGCAGTTATCCCGAAAGGGGTCCATGTCCCAGCTGACACCAGGGGACACCTGTCCTGTTAGGACCACAGAGCCCCCCCACCACCACCACTGTTAACATAAGGGGGTTTGTGTGGGCAAAGCTTTCTCCCTTCCCAGTCTTATTTTAAGTTAATGCTAATTAATGTGAGTTTACTAAATAAACCAAAAGAGCCTTGATTTCCAAAGGTGTGATATTTTATCACAGTTTCAAGTGATGCTTCATTTTTAAAAATTAATTAGTATCTTGTGAGACTAGCCACACATTATTGAGTAAGGAATAGCGGCTAAGTGAAACAGATGAAATATTGGTAAGCGATGCAACCCACAGTATAAGTATGTGAAGGGGGTCAGAGGTTAATCCCTATTGATTTTCTGAGTCTGCGTACAGCACCACTGGGAAAGGCCGGTTCTGTTGGCATTCAGCTAGCACAAATACATTATAAATCTTACTGTCCACCTTCACTGATCAGTGTCACTTACTTCCTTCACTAAAGACCATTAAGAAACTAGTGGGGAAAAAATCTATCCAGATGCAGGCAAGAAGAAAAGCATTTTAAAAGTCTTTGTGTCACAGGATGCCTTTGGAGATGAGGACTTCCCTGAATGCGGAAGCACATGTACAAATACAGAGTGATTTTCAAATGACTTCAACACCAAACTGAAATGGTGAAGCAGCTTTCACATTTCAGTGGATGAAAAAATAAAAAAAGTCAAACATGCTCAGTGACATTGAGAGGCATATCCAACTTGGGTTTTGTGAAATTTGGCCTTGACACAACTTTGAAGCTAGTGAAGAGTTAGCTTTAAGGGGCATCAGGTCCATGGGCCTCTTCTAAGATTCTGCACTGAATGTTTTACTCTTTTCCTAAAGTGGGTCCCCACCATTCATAAGCTTCTGCCTTCACACACCTCCAACTTATTTCCAGGAATATCTATAAATGGCTGCTTCTTGTTCATGCCTTTCTTTCTTTTAACAGATTGTGCCATGTACCTCCTGTGCATCTGCCACTATTGCTAGGCACAGCAAAACAGATGAGTAAGATGGGGCCCTTCCCTAGAAAAATGAAGGTCTTTGTCATACCCTGGACTCTCCTACAACATGGTCCTGCAAAAAGTCTTAGTGCTAGTAAGTGTTCTGCCACTGACCAGCTGTGTGACACCCAGACAATTACTTAACCTCTCTGAGCTTCCATTCTGTCACCATTATAAATGAGGATAATAACAGTAGCCATGTCACGGGGTGGCCAGGAGATTAGAAATCACATGTAAAAAAAGCACTTAGTATAGGGCCCAATAAACATTTAATAAGTGTGGGTCAATTAAAAAAATTGTGACATCACGAAAAACAAGTGACCTCTCTCAACCTCTGTTTCTCTAATGGAAATTATGGAATTAAGATGCAAAAAGATATGGAGACATATGATCTATGATTCCATCCAAATAGATGTATCAGATCCACCTACTTCTTAGAGAAAGTGTAACAATAACAAGTAAGTTCTAAGTTATTCCTTAGAGAGGTTTTTTAAATCCTTAAAAACCACATGAAAGCAAAACATATTAGAAATGTAAATGCTGGGTAGCTCGCATTAATCAGAGATACAGAATTAAGAAATGTTTTAAGAAATCTTTGGGCAAAGAAGGGCTTCCTTTCTACACTGAAATGACATACTTTATCTTAAAGCACCAGCACCAGAAACATGAATAGAAAAGGTTCATAGATATGTGTTATTCCTGCACAGTTTTCACAAAAACAAAGGCATATCCAGCAATTTCCCATCAAAAGTTCAGTCTCTGCCACGACTCTTTGCTTCTATCAATGGAGTTTTTTTCCTTTCAAAATACCTTCCCTTTTGGCATTTTTCAATTGTATTGAAAGGTGGTCTTTGTTAGGCAGAAGATAAACAGAGCAGGACCCAAATGAACAGTGAAAACCAAGACAGGCAAAGGTCACAGGCTCTTTAAAAACCCTTAGAGGCTCCAGACTATTTTAATTGTGCACCTTCATCAAATAGAAAAATTCAGGGCACATACCTCATTATGTCTTCTTATAAGTTATAAACTTGTATCATTCTATTAGCTAATGTCTCAAGACATGGTATAGGGTTAGAATGATGTTCATTATTAAAATTAGTGCATACAATTTTACATCTTTTTGCTAATTTAGACTTTTCTTTTTTGATTGTCCTCTAAGATCTGATCACATTTTCACTGTGTTTGCCTTGGAACAGATGATGAGTTTATAGTAGAAGGAGCTGAAGTGCCAGTGTTGCCATTTCCACGTTGCTTGCCTGTGTTCACATTGTAAGCACGATGTTCAAATGCTGGTCTCTCACAGAAGTCTTTGTAAACCTTTGTTGTTCATTTTGTGCAGGATGCTTTAGTTCCAACCAGATAATCTAATGTCTTAACCCATTTAACTGAGCAGACATGAGAAACTACAATGCATTTTCCAATGCAGGATGGAAGCCCACAGGAAACAAGAGCCCCACGATGGCCTCTTCGCTTGGGGAAACAGCCTGCCTCACCTCAGAGTGCCTTGCATATCATACATGGCCCCTAACCATCTGAGACTGGAGAGGGCACCATGTCAATGCATCTGTGTAATATTTGTAAAGATCAATGCTTCTTAATTGAGAGTCAATATCAGACAGAAGTTAAAAGTGAGGACCCTGGAGCCAGACCACCTGACTCAGGGTGCCTGTGTCCTCACCTATAAAACATGGGTAATAACAGCACCACCTTAGTGCACATGTGAAAAGATATTTAAAAGGATGATATGTATAAATATAAGATGCACTCAAAACAGTTGCATCTGGCACCTGATAAATGTGTCGAAATATTTAATAATAAATGGAAGAGTTTAATGGACAAATGCAAGTTGTAATGTTTTCTCCTAGGACCCAGCAGGTCATTCTTCACACTTTGGAGACTTTTGCTTTAGAGCAGCCTAATCCAATACAGTGTTCTGCTACGATAGAAACATTCTTCATCAGTGCTACCCAATATGGTAGCCACTAACCGCATGTGGCTATTGAGCACTTTCATGTGGCTAATGCGACTGAGGAACTGAACTTTTGTTTTCATTATTAAATAGCCACATGTGGTCAGATGCTACCATATTGGACAATGAATCTCCAGAAAATTAACTGTGTCTGATACACTATAAGATGGAACTCAATTTTGTGATCCATCAATTTGCCTCAGAGAAGGTCTGGCTGCTTAGATGAGATCAAGCAAGCCTGCTCTGGGCTCTGAAGCCAAGAGCATCATCACCGTTAGCTCCTCAGCTCTTCTGTCTCTAAGATGCTCAATTTCTTTGTCATTGGCTTCAATGTCCTCAGGAAGGGACAGTGACTGGGGTCATTGCTTGTCAGCATTTTTGGAGACCTCTGATATGTGCTGGTTGGGCTTTTCCAGCTCAGCTCAGCTTTTATTTCTGGTTTGGGTCTTAAATCTTGGCTTAGGGAACCCTGTCCAAGCTCCCAGGCCACACACATACACCACTCTATTTGGTGTCCTGGCCCCTGTTCTCAATTTGCAAGTGACTTTCCACATTCTACAAATGGATCTCTGTGTTGACCCTCCCTGTGACGGTGGCCACATGATTCTCTGAGGGCATCCAGACCAATGCCAATCTATTATAGAGAACTAAAGGCCTGATGCATGAAATTCGTGCAAGGGGCTTGGCCCCTTGCCTGCCGCGGCAGCCGCCTCTGCCTCGGCCCCCGCCTCAGCTTCATCTGGAAAGACATCCAGTCTAATTAGCATATTACACTTTTATTATTATAGATGGAAATCATCTTATGTCCATGTTCACTATGTAAAGTATCCTCTGCCATATGGTCCTGCCCCAAAAGGCTTCATTCTAAAACCATAAACTTCATAGTATTCATTATCATGGTATTTACCTCCAATAGGATTTGTTTTATAAGTCCAAATAAACTATAGTCATAAGTATAAAAGCTTTCAGCATTATAATGAAAGCCTTTTCTAACCCAAGGCTGAGTTAGGTCTCTGTGACTACGTGTTAAAATTATTTGCATATGTTTTTGTCTTTCCCAATGGATAATGAGATTCTTGAAGGCAACAACTGATCCAAATTCAAATTCTCACTGTCTGAAGTAGTTTCTGACACATAGTAGGCACTCAACACATATTGGATGGATGATGAATTAAGAGATGGGTGGGTGGATGGATAGATGGAGCTATGTAGTGTTGAACTGTATTTTGATTCAAAAAAAAAAGAGAAATGAAACAATTTAAAAATGTTGACCATATTCTCAAGATATTTTCTTTTTCTTTATTTTTAAATCCTCATCCAAGCATATTTTTTCCCATTGACTTCCAGAGAGAGTGGAAGGAAGGGAGGAGGGGGGAGAGAAACACTGAAGCAAGAGAGACACACTGATTGATTGCCTCCCACATGAACCCCTACCAGGACTGGGGAACCTACAACTGAGGTATGAGCGCTTGACCAGGAATTGAACCCTCGACCCTTGGGTCCACAGGCCAACGGTCTAACCACTGAGAAAACTAGCCAGAGCTCTTTTTCTTTTCTTTTCCAAATACTCTTAATGTATAAGAAACAAATACAGCACTACTAAATCCTCCTTATATTTCAGGAAGGCGGGATACCCAAGTCTGTGACTCCTAGAGCTGGAATGTGCTCCATCACAATCATGTCAGGCTAGTGACTTCTATGGAAATGAGACAATGAAGAAAAAAGAGACCACGATGGAAATCTCAAAACCAAATTAAATACTGAAAATAAGTTAATGAAATTACATTTCAGATTCAGCTTACTCAGAAAGGACTTGTCCAAAGGAAGGAGAGGGAAATGAAAAAAGTTCACCATCAGAACCAGCTGTCTAGTTTGAACTGCTAGATTGCTGAGCACACATGGTATGCATATTCATAGGTACCATGGAGAATTAAGCACCTTTGGAACCACCATTAAAACTCTCCTTCCAGTGAGTGAAGTGAACCAATAACGCAACAGCCCCCTTGTGGCCCGGAAGAATTAATGCAGCTTCAGAAGGTGTAAAGGTTCTCCTTGGAGTGGGGTGAGTCATGGGGAGTGGGCAGAGAGCCCTGAGAGAGGAGGGGGTATGCTGAACTACTTGTAAAGGTGTTAGATTTGGCCCTGTTTTGTGGAGGAAGGGCAATGCATCATGATAAACACTTTTTTCTTTCTAGAGACTGAAAAGGAACCCCAGTGTACATGCCAGTTCAAACTAATGTGTGCTTAAAGAAGAAACGGATCAAATGAGCTCAGTATTTCCATTTAAAAATATCATTTAAGGGAATTTTAAGCTGTCTGAGAAGATGGATACACTGTGTTTGTTTTCTACATTAATGAGCTATAAAAAGAATGGAATAGGCCATAAATACAGTATTTTGTAACAGCCTTTACTAAAAATGCTACTACTTGTGTTTATCATTTATATCCTTGTATACAACCTCAAAATTGATTACACTTTAAACCGTACATAACTTGCTATGTTTTTCATTTTGTGCTATACTACAAACATTTTTATAACTCAGTTAATATATTCCATATTTTGTGTTCTTATTGATTATGAATATTTCTTTAGGGGATTTTATTGCTTTTAAAGTAACAAATGTTAGGTATTAAAAAATAGAAAAACCTATTGCAGCTTTTATATTTTTTCTTTCCCCTGGTAATTCTAATACATACATTTTAGCAAAACCATAGACAGATTATCTTTCTCTGTATCTTTTATACTTCCTTACACTAAAATAAAAAATCTAGTGCATAGTAAAAGAATCAGACTTTTCAAAGGAAACCCACCATTTAATGTGTTTGACTTGAATCCATAATCCTTTCCTTCTACAATTAAAAAATTAAAGTGCCAAAAGATTATCCGAACGTAAAAGGATGGTTTTACATCAAGTATATATTATCTTTCCTAATTGCCATCTCAGTTTATAGGCTAAAATATGATTTATATATATGATATGATTTCACTATTAATTATCAAATTGAAAAAATAAAATCTCACATTATAAATTCTCTCCTGGAAATTAGTTTTATTATTTTTTCCATAATCCTATCACACAAGCTATAAGTGCATTGCGGCATGAACACTTTAATTTTTCCAGTTAGTTTTAAGCAAGCCCAGAGGTGAGGTTTAATAAGGATCAATGGCACTTTATCTGGGACAGGGCCTCTTCACAGCATGCAAATTACACAGTAACACTTAAAAAAAGAAATAGATTTAATTAAAAAAAAGTAGAACCACAGGCTCTAGAAATTCAATTAAAGGATTTATGCAAAGGTTTGCTAGGTTTTATATGCAGTTACTGCTTACATAATGAGCTTTTCATATTAAAAATCAATAGGTAATCTAGACTAGAAGATCATCCCCTTAAATACATTTTTGAAATCAATTTGAAAAATAGTCCATCAACTGCTGTGACTACTCTTGCTGCTTCGATTACACTAAAAGCAATATTTAGATTGTAAGACGTGCTATGGAATATCTATGCTGGGATATTGCTTTCAAGGGCTCTTGTTCTTTTGAGTGTGCCTAAGATGATCACCTAGTAATTCAAGATTGTGTTAAAAGTATAAAAAATTTAGTTAATTACCAACAAAAGCCTACAGACACAACTCCATTGTATTTATAATGGTTAAGTGAAAGAAGAAAGAAGGAACTGAAGGAGGAAGGGAGGAAAAGAGGGAAAGAGAGAGAAAAATAAGGAAGGAAGGAAAAGAGGAAGGGAGGGCAGGAAGGAGGAGGGAGAGGAAAGAAAGAGAAAACGGAACACCTCTTCTAAATTAGTCTTTGCTACCTCAGTTGCTTGTTGTGAGTTGCCTACTTGGCACTTGGAGATATGCTTTTCACTTTAAAACTCATTTAGGTCTTCAACTAAGGAACCAATTAGCTAGCTTATAACTTAAGCAGGCTTTCCATCTTCTGTAATACTGGGGGGGGGGGGGGAAGAGGGGGTAGGCCTTAAAAATGAAAACTGATGTTCTAATTCTACCCACTAAGTTCACCAAGCATCTCACAGCCAACATCTGCCTGTGGCCTGTGTTTGGTAACAATTAGACCTCCCAACGGGTTCCATGGGCCCTTGCTGGTAAACTGAGAATAATCTTCTTACAGAGGGAGGCACTGGGAGAGGGGAGGAAAAAAAGAATCCAGGTAGGTCCAAATCCTAATTCTTCCCATCTGTATAGAATATTAGCACAAGAACCATTCCTGAGTACTTCTTTTTCTTACTTTTATTTAAAAGGTTCTTATTTCTAAAAGGTGTAGTGAGCATTCTGTGACCATCAAAATGAAAATCATGACTCAAGTTATCTTCAACCAAAATGAGCCTTGTAAAAACAGGCCTAAACTGTTTTAAGGACTAATTTATAACAAAGTCCGTACTCTCTTCTGTAAAACTCTGGGGGAAAACATGAGCAAGACATTTAGTAAAACCCCAATGTATCCAACTACCAAAAACACCTATTCTCAGGAATGGTAGTACTTTGGGAAGGTGCTGATGCAGCCAGCGTAGGTAACCAAGAAGGTCCTTGTACTCAATACACGGGTGGAGATGATGGAGACAAGGAGAAAGAATGAGACAAAGAAGCAGTTTCTGATGTCTGAGATATTGGTGGTCACGTTACAATCCCTAAAGCACAATTCTGCACACATCACATGACGAGTTGGCCTTTTGGGATGTACCTACAGCTGTGCTAAGGAAGACTTTAGGCCCAGGAGCTAACATGAGCTTTCTCGGGCATACGTGTGTGAACTCTGCAAGCACTAGTAGAATATAAGGGATGTGCTAGGCACTGCCAGCAGTCGTGATGACCATGAAGGTGAATCCAAAAGATCTCGCATGCTTCACTAGGTGAAATATTTCTGCACATACATTTATTCTTTTCTTTTACCATAAATATCATATTTAAAAGAAAAAAGAAAAAGAAACTGACAAATAAGGTGCAGCACCTTATGCGAAGTGAAAGAAGACAGTCCCAAAGGACCACATACTATAAGATCCCACTTATACAAAATGCCCAGGAGAGGCAAATCTATGGAGACAGAAAGTGGATTTGTGGTGGCTAAGGCTGGCTGAGGAAGTTCGAGGTGATGGCAAGAGGGTACGGGCTTTCCTTGGGGGCGGGGGAGGGGTATTAAAATGGCCTAAATTTGATTGTGGTGATGACTGTACAACTATGTGCATATACTAAAGCTATTAGGTTGTACACTTTAAATGAGTGAATTGTGTGGTATGTGGATTGTATCTCAATAAAGCTGTTATAAAAAATAGGGGCATTTATGGATTATAGTCTAAATTGTAGTAGCTTTAAGGAGAAGCCAACAAAAAACATTTTCTACCCAAACTAATCTAACAAAAACATTGAAGCTTTCTCTGTCTCTGCAAAATACCTGCTGCATGTGATGATCAGCTTATAGAATGCACCAACGTAAGATGTGCAAACAACGTATTGGCTTTCTGTTGAAAGGTGCTGAAGGCAAAATAAGCAGAACCTTCCCATCTCACGAAATGAGAGCTTTAGCATGAAATGTCCCAGGTTAGTATGAGCAAAATGTCAAATACGAAACCATTTGTAACAATGTGAGAGGTGTTAGTAATGGAAGTTTGAACAATGTTAACACTTAAAATTTCAGCAGAACCATTTCAATCCATAAATGTATAAAAGTCATTTTACAGTGTGCTTAGCAGTGAAGACCAAGAGATGTTATAAAAGAAGACGCCCTCAATGTCACTTCATTTTCTTTTATTCTTATTATCACATTTAAATCTCTCTGTAAAAGTGGTCTTGATAGGTAACTTTATTGCACATTTCAAGACTATTCATTCTGAACAGAACTTCCTCCAAGGAATTAACTGGTAAAGAGAGACCACTTTCCCCTCATCATCCCTAAATTATGCTGTGAGCACAGCACAGCAGGGTGGCAGTGTGCATGTCACAAGGATTTGGACTACCATGCCACACATGGATAATCTTAGAGGTGACTCTTTTGGTTCTGCAGAGAACCACTGGTTGGTTACACTGGTCCTTAGCTAACATCTTGCTGTTTATCTTGGAAAGATCTGAGAGTAAAGCAAAGTAGACAGGCAGAGTCAGGGCTGGGACTTGTTGAAGAGAAAGAATTCTGAAAAGTAGCCATCATGGCCACATCAGCATCAAGGGCAAGAACACATTCTGACCCTTCCTCATTTCACTACCTCTGCTCACAGGTAAGTACATCTCCTAAATTAGGTGCCGGCAAACTTGTTGTAAAGGAGCAGTGGTAGATATTTTCAGCTTTGCAGACCATACCTTATTTGTTGTAACTCTGCTTTTGTAATGCTGCAGCAGCCACAGACAACGCAAAAATGGATGAGTGAGGCTGTCTCCCAATAAAACTTAATTATGGACAAATTTAAATTGCATATAGTTTGCATATAACTGCAAAATATCATTTTTCTTTAAGATATTTTTCCATTTAAAAATGCAAAAAGAATTCTTAGCTCACAAGCTGCACAAAAATACGCATTAGATCAGATTTGACTCAAGAGTCATAGTTTGCTCTCTCCTGTGATAAACCATAGGTTAGCCAGCAAGGTGGTCAACCAGTACTTCCTTCTTGACTGGGATTCATTCACCCAATACTCTGATGACCAGGTGGTGTGATTTTCCTCAGTGGGGCAAAACTTGATGGCATACCTTTCAAATTGAATGCACCTTACAGAACAGCAGAATAACTTAGTTTCCTGGCAGAAATTCATATTCTAAACTTTCTGAATGTTTTCCTTCAGAAACAGTTATCAAGGCCCCAACGTTTTCCATTATTCAAAAGTGAACAAGGTTTCTGGAACTGACAGCTTTTTTTTTTTAACTGATTTTGGAACTGACAGCTTTGAAGTAGTCCAGGACACACAATAGCCTTGGTTTATGAGATACAAAGCTGAATGCGTTCCCTGTGGCTCTGCTTAGTAATGCTATTGTTAACGTGACAGGTTATGTGAATGCAACATGCAGCCAAGCCTTTCAGTGTGCTTAGGGTTTAATTTGGAATATAGTGTGACTTGTTCCTCTGACCACTGCAAGCATAGACGCCCAAGAAAAACAGGTGCATAAACTGGGCATCATAATAACTAATTGGAATAATCAAATGGATGGCTTTGTTAGCAGAGGAATACAGTAGTGGGATTCCTCTGTTGCTTGTGAAAATGGGATTCTTGGGGTACTGGTGAAATAAGTGCTTTCAGAAGGGGAGAATGAGGGGTGGTAGAAGACTTTATTTGGGTGGAGTTACATGCCTCAGCTTCCAATGTCCCATTTCCCTTAAGTCCTGAAAGAGGGCAGCTGTGGATTCAGCAAAGTCAAAAGCAAAGCCAGTGCCCAGAGCTTCCATTCCAAGTTGCACCCGAGACCAGTACATTCAATCTAGGTTCAGTGCATTGATCCATTGTGTGGAGCCCACATGGCCATGGAGCCTAGATGACCGTGGTTTACATGGGTAAATGCCCCCTGCAACAGGAGTCAGATGCAAAAAGCAAGAGAGTGAGCCAAGAGCCTAGAGAGGGAACTCTCTTTGTCTAGGAGTTTAAATATTCAGGTTTCGCCCCCTGTCCGTGGCCATGCCTATCTGGCCACTAATTTGTTCCCAGGTGTGACCAAAAGAAGGCACCTTCCCATGTCACCCATACCTTACTGGGCATGCGCCTAAACTGCCTTTGTCCAGTCCCTTCCCTATCGATTAGCGGGGGACAGACTTGGAGAGTGTTAAATAAGCAAAGCTGTATAAATTGCATGCCTATATTATCTAGTCTTCCCTTTACTCCATTTCTGCTAAATAATAACCAGATTATTATAATGGTATCAGCTTTAAGAGAATAAAGTAGAAAGTGTAAATTTTGTTACATTGCTAAGGAAGCATATGTGTAGTGTTTCAACTATGTGTAGAATCAAAAACTGATAACTGTTATCTGGAATAGTTTTGCTGAATAGGGAAACAAAAACCATTGCAAATTGATGTATTAAAGAGCTTTAGAAGTTTCTTTAATAAGTCATACATCCATTTCATGGTGATATTTACACTATTCCTTGGCATGGGAAGTCCTTTTTATTAATATTATTATTATTATTTTGATAAGGGTGATAGAAACTGTAGTCTAGTGCAGGTCAAATGACATTGATACTAGTGTTTATATATTTTTATCTTCTAATGAATGTGGCCCAAATAAATATTTTTAAATACCGCAAAGCATTTACCATAATATAAATGGGTCTCAGTACAAAGTCACAGAGGAAAAGGGGTAACAATAATAGGAAAGGCAAGAGGTTCAAATCTCACCTTGTGGATTTCACGCATGAGGCGAAGTTCTGAGATCATCATCTCCCACATTACCACAACAGAAATGGGCTGGTGAGAAAATTCTGACGTGAAGAACGTCTTCCTAATTTAAAACAGGTAGCTTTCTAAAAACATCATACTGAGTGTTCCCCACTTGAAGCAAAACATTATTCTTAGTGAATGTTTAAACAGACCAATGTGATGAGGGATGGCTGCTGCATTTTCAGAGAGTTCTCACCCCTGAGAATTATCCAGAGTCCCTCTTAAACCTGTATTCCACATCTGCATCAATACGTTTATTAGATATTCATTCACTGGTGGGAGGGGAATGAAGAAACATGCCTGACTGCTCTGCAGCTGCTGACTGGTCAGTGGTCCCACAGTATGAGGGCCAATCTCTCTGCCTTTCTTTTCATATTTTTCTCTGGTTTGATGCTTCATGTTAGCAA